GAGGAGGAGGAGGAGGAGGAGGAAAAATAATATTTCCTGCTACAGATGCACTTATTGACAGTGAAATTATAGGAACAGTTTTAACGTCTGTGTGTGACAGACGTACGCGCAAGCGCACACACTATGTATTCATTGCTTTAGTGAATAAGCAATTTACATGTTACTGGAGTGGTTATGTGTTTCTGAAATGCAAAACGCAAACGAAATGCAAAATGGAAGTATTTTTTCATACCAACTTTCAAATGCTTATTGCGTCTCAGCCATTCGAAATCTTGAAGGAGTTTATTAGATAAACATGCTTAATATTGACTAAAGATATTTCCGAATTTTTGTTGTTTCCTTGCTGGACAGCCTGTACAGACAAGACCAACAAGCTGGCCCAGTTTCCGACAATCCAACTTAAATTGATGGCGATTCTGTGACTCGCGCCCAACCTTTCAAATATGATTGGGCGTTTAGTTCCCACCGCTATTCACAAACCGAAACGCTTGCTTTGGGCAGCATTCAGATTTCTAGCCTCACGATTCTCCGTTACGTACGGTTGTGCCATTGTCATGTAATATTTATTGAATTATACAATTTTTAAAACCTGATCAAGCCAAACACGGCAATTGAACACATGTGCAAGTAATTTCAACGAATTTCTGTAATAGTGCGATAATCGTCGAAGTACGAGTATATTGTTCGCATTGTTCCCGAACAGTGTTACGAGTTATGAACTGTGAACTGTATAACTGTGTGCTGAGAGTTCACAACATATATACATAATTTTAATCTCCGAGGTTTCTATAAGTGTGAAATGACACGTGTAAGATGATGCTGGGCACTGGCTTTTTCAATCACTAAACTCGGCATTCGAAAACACACTACCAACATCAGAAAACTCGTTTCACTAACATCCTCACACTCGCATGTTTTTTTAAAGGAAGAATTGTTGAATCCTTTTACTAGATCGATTACAACTCGCACAATGAAATAATGATCAGGCGACAGCAGATAGTCTTAATTATATTAATTTTATTGAAATTTAATGTCTCTCTCACCCTCCGTATCTTTGTATGTACCTACGCACACACATGAATTCCAATTTTCGGGTACAAAATTGATTGTATCTCCTCTCTACCTGCACCAGTATTAGCCAGCTTTGGAACAGATACAAAACCTTAATTCCCCTTATGTTACAGCTCACAAGAACATCAAAAGCGGATTTTACGACCGAAGATTCGAAATTGTACACTAAATAAGTAAAGTTTTTCTCAAAAACTGCTCCAAATTTTATCTTATTTTCTGCACCTATGTTCGTTTATAAATGTAACGTTCGTACTAATGTTCCTTTAATAATACAGCATGGATTAAAACTACTCGAATTACAAAAGTTAAATTTTCTTCGAATCTGTTCTACGCCTTCACTACTGAAGCTAGAAATTCGAATATGGTCTTTACATTTAATATTGAAGTTTGAGAAGTCTTTCTCAATGCACTCTTTTCCAATAACAGATCTTAAAATTAATTAATTTTAAGGACACTTTTTTCTACATGTTAGTAGTTTTCGCGTTGTTTTGAGAAATATTTGTGTTTTTTGAGCGACGGAAGTGTAATTAGGATACTAGACGCAAAATAACATTACAGGACTGTTATTAATACGAGAATGTGTGTGCTGTTGAGCACAACTAGTTTATTTATCTAAACAATCTACAATGCTGTCATTTACTTACTTGTAAACTGATCTCTTATCAGCTTCAAACTGGGCCTGATCGGGCTGAGGAAACCCCCCACCTTGTTCAGCTGTACCGCCTTGTGTCATGGCCACACCACCACCAGTTTCTGTCTGCTCGTAGCCAGGTGTCACCATGGTGCTGCTCTCTTGCATGACACCTGGCTCATGCGCCCATCTGAAAACATAGATCACAGCGAATTACTTGATATTCGCAACTAGGGTTATTGTTCGGTAGCACATATATCTCAGAATAAATGTTAGTAACTTCTAGGACCTGCAGAGTATCCAACACAATAACTTATCACTGAAAATTCAAGTTTTCAGGTAATGAAGTTACAAGTGACATTTGCCCCTGATGGTAGGCAACCCACCATGCGTTGTTTGGTAGGTTACGTTGACACCGTCTTAAGGGATTTCGTTAACCCGCTACGCACCATTGCATGAGGAGTTGCCTACTACACAGGGGCTAACATATGCCCAACGCTGTGGAATATAACTTCGTTATACAAAATTTCTCACATGTTCACTAGAAAAAAGTGATTTATCTTGGACGCTCTACATCCCCTCTAAGTTCGTAACACTTAATACGAAACACCTGCAATGACATATTCGTTTCTCCATCAGATAAAACTAATAGTTTCAATGTGTTTACAAATTAGGCATTTGAAAGAGATTTGAAACGTTACATTACAAATGTCATCATTTGAATCCATACTTGCACACATTTTCTGAAATGTTAAATATTTTTGTAAAATTAAAGAAGACTCAAATATAGTCACATAATAAAACATTATATTCGCAATATGTTCCATATTATATCCTTTCGAAATAATTCTTGGAAAATTATGTATCCAAGAGAAACATTTAACACAATTGTCAATAGTTTAGAAGTAGTTCTAATTTTATATTAAACACCACACAATACTCCGTGGTTGAAAACAGTGTCCATTTCTTCTGATGTTGGGACAAGTTTTAGGTAATGCAAAAGAAATATTTAAGAGACAAGAGTCGCAATTTCATATTTGAAAATTTAAAACAAGTCTATGATTCCATGCCTTACAGAAAATATAGAAGGTTCGCCGAAAATGGGATGTGAACTATTCTTAAGCGTTCTTGCTCTCTCCGAGAAAAACATTTGAAGAAAAAATTTCGACTAGCGTTTGAGAAAATAAATTTTTATACTTGCCTATTTTTCTCGCAAAATAACGCGAAAACTAGCCATATTTTTGAAAAACTATACATGATCTTTCAAAGATCTGTTTTTGAAGACCAGATTTTATTAACGAACAAATTACAATATTTTACAATTGAATCGTAGGAAGCCGCCAAAAAACCTTTTTGCAATGAAACTTTTGAACCTTTAAGAGTTGAAGGAAAATTGGACCGGCACCTGGGTGATAACGGTACACCATGAAAAAATGTAAAGAAAATTAGAGACACTTAAAAAATATTGAAAAGGTCTTTGATGGTTCGTATAAATTACCCGCAAATATCAAAAGATCCGTTTCAAATTCAAGGGACCAGTCATCAACTCGATCGATTGGAAATAAGTTCGATGAAAATCCTGCATACGATTCATTCGCTAACTGTCGGGTGCACGTTTTGGCTTCAACCAATTTCACCTACAAAATGTGGATCATGACTACACAACGTTTATGTAATTTACTACGCATATAAAGAATAATTATCCACTTACTCGGGGATAACTAATTTTCTGGGTATAAGGATTCTAATTTTTGCGTCAAATAATCGCCGTTTTTCGCTGCAGCATTACACAACTTTCTTTATGCGACGTAAGTAGTATCAGAAAGTAGTAACGTAAGAAAAAAAATTGGGAGTCATTTGGAGAAAATTTTGAAAATCTCATCGAGCCTTCACACAAAGTACTCTCAAAATATTTCATTCAATTTCACATGGCCTTGAGTGCGGACAAATCGATCTGGAAATATCAATTTTGGAGAAAGTTCTAAGAACGAAGCGCTTTGCGCCAATGTTGTCCGACGTTAATGTTGTTGACGTAAGGCCTGACAGACATACTGACGTTTTATCGTAAATAAACTTTTCGATATGAAGGATACACAAAATGAATTCGGACTGCCCGAAGTAAGAGGAAATAATTTAATTCATATAAAAATAAGAATTCTCCACTTTTTCGGTATCGGAACACAAATCATACATTACGAGTTCTGTAGGAAAAAGGCCACTCAATCACTACATCAGTACAATATTTTCTGTATGCTACGTAGTATGCGAGAAAGTAAATGTTCAATAATATTTTTTTGGAAGCGGGGACAAAAAGTTTAGTTTTGTGTGGTTTTCTAAAGTACAGGTTTTAGAAAAAATGAGACTTCCGTCATTTTCATATAATTCATGTAATCTTCCAAAAACAAATTGAGACATTTTTAGAAAATTTTGAAACTATCAAAGAGGTTCAAGAAACTAATCTTGAAACTTAAACGATCTGCATCAAATTCGGAGAGCTTGGGAACGGGAAGATTCATTGGGGAACATATATTTTGGTGAAAATTCTGGGTACAGTGTAGATAGTTTTGTTCACAGACGATCGGATTAATTGTTTGAAGATAAAATGTTTACTACTTTACGAGAAAGTAAAAATGTAAATATAATCTCAGTTTCTTCATCCCATTTCCTGTCACCCCGGTGTTACCCATTGGGCAGAGGAGGCGGCGGCAGGCAAAACATTCATTATTTCGGGAAAAAAGAAATTCGCTGAGATCAGCCTGTCCGCAGGCGTCTGAGGCGCGGGGCGGTCCGTGCGCTCGCAACTCCGGCGCCGAAGGAGCGGCGGAGGGAGACCGACGCTTGTTCAATGAGGTTAGTTTTATCGATCAGGACAAAAGACAAAAGGCAGATGCATAATAAAAGAGGCTGGAGTCAGGACCGGAGGGGCGCGCGTCACAGGGTGCGTCCCAAGTCACTGAGCGTGCGACCCGACCAGCGCCCCGCTATTCTGTTCCAACGGCACTCTGCCTCCCCTCATCTCTATCGAAGGACTCGAGAGGATTTCGCCACTCAAGTGCACTTCAACAACGCCGAGTTCGTGTTGCAATGCAGAAGGGTGCAAACAACAACGAGGCAAACGTACAGAAGACCGATTTTGTAGTATCAGAGAGTTGTGTCACGGTTCGAATAAGAGTATAAACAAAGGATCATACAGAGAAAACGCAATTGTTAATTTAGCAGGTTATGTAAGTGAATTCAAAACCATTTTTCTTGGACGCGTGTATGAATAATACGTCATCGTTAATCGTTAATACGACTATGAAATTATTGATAGATGTCGGTCGAGTAACCCATGTGTTGTTAGAAAGCACGTGGTTGCATATATGTCTGCTTCGCATCCTCGATTCCGAATTCGTGATATTCAAGAACCGGGAACGAAGGGTATTAATTCACAAAGAGTTAGGATATTACACGAGTGCAGCATTAATTTGCTTTTTTTTTTTAAATCAAGAATACTGATTTATGGAATATCGGTTGGGGAATATCAATTTTAGTAAAAAACCAACTGAAATGTTTTGCCGCCAGTTTTGACGGCCGACAAACTGACAGAAACGCACAGAGAGGTAGACATTTGCCGTCAACATATTTTTCGGCATCAAGGATTACTCAAAATCCAAATTCTACGTACACGTTTTAGAGAAAGTGATTTATTACAAATATGAACAATATTTATTCACTTTTTACGATATCAGAGCCCCAGAATATGAGTTTTTATGTTGCAAAACTGCCAATTTTGCTGCAGCATAACGAAGCCTCTTTACTAGTAAGTGCGTAACAAGGAGAGAAAGCAAAAAATAAGTTCTGTATTGTGCATGTTTTGTCTATTAAAACACATAATACTAATACAATATTACATATTGATTTTTCAAGAAAGTTACGATGACCTTAGCAAAGACGCGGAAAGATGTTCAATGTCCAAATTTAATTTTTTTGTACTATAATAGTTCTTGGTCTCTGCCATCAGCTATGCATGTCGTGTGTTAGTCAAATAGTTAAATTTACGGTTCATACGAGCAGTTGTGTAGCGTTGGTTATTTTGTAGCTAACCCTCTAAAATCCCTCACCCCTTTTATCTCGAACGAGATTTCGTGTAGGTTAAAATGTTTTACATCAGTCCTCTACAAAGTTACAACGAAATATTATTATTATTATTATTATTATTATTATTATTATTATTATTAACCAACATCATCTCATAAAGGGCAAAGGCCTTCTGCTTTAGCACGGTTAAAGACTGTTGATATTTGTAAAACCACTCGAGTAAGTCATGAGAATCATCAAAACAATATAAAGTGAAGCAAATAGTAGCTATAAGAAACTATTGTAAAACAAACTAAAAGACAACAAATAAATGAACAAACAAAATAATAGCTACAAGAAACTATGTAGTATAGCTTTAAGAAAATATACGAGCAAAACAAATAGTAGCTATAAGAAACACCATAATTATATACACCTACGCAAAGAGCGATGAAAGAGACGTGTGGGGATCTTTTCACCGACCACACCGGATTCTGTCCCAAAAGCCTCCTTTCATTTGCGCCAACACGTCACAAATACGTCGATGCTCTGCTTGTCCTGACAGCACAACGCTGACGCCCACTTCAGAGAACGATCGCCTTCCGCCGCCGCCGCCGCCTAACGAGACCTCACACGTAGTTTATGGCGCTCGCTGCCGCTGGCACCGCAGAGCATTCCGTGGCATGCCCAGCGCCCAGCGAGGCCTCCCGCAACCGCAGCTCCCCGAAGCGCACCCTCCCGCCAGACGCCGTCAGAATGCACACTCCGTCGATTTTCTCTGAAACGTGATATGTTTGGGAAACCAAACTATTTTAGCTCAACGTCGAAACTCTGGCTTTCGCGACTTAATGTGCCATTACGCCACCCCAATGATAGCATAATATAAATTAGCAAGTCCACTTAAAAAAAAAATTAGACAAAAGAACTCAAATACTAAAATACAATAAATAAAATGTCCTTGGAAAATTTCAGAAATGTAACAGAGAAACGGGCACAGAGAACAAATCTAATTGAATTGAACTGTATTACACACACACACACACACACACACACACACACACACACACACACACACACACACACACACACATTCATCATTTGTAAGACAATGCATTCGCCGTTAGTGAAAT